TCTCCTACCCTTCCCACTTTCCCTACACCTTTAGCCCTTTTCTTCCTATTTCACATTGTCAATTATCTCATTAGGATCTTTTGTACTATTATAGTTTGTTCACACATAATGTCATCATCTTAATACTTAAGATTCAATACATAAATCCGGGAAGACACAAACATTCAGACCATTGCAAATGCAATCTTTCAGGTAAATGTGTAATGCATTAAAGAATGTATGACTGGCTGGATGGACAAACAAATAACCGGGAAGATACATGGGGTAATACATAAATGACATGCTCAAGTCCTGCCATGATGACAATATACAGTACTGATTGGGCTTCTGCTTGATCCCCAGGTAGGAACCCAAACTGCCTCATATTTTCTGACCTTGAGATCTATGTCCCTAGGCGTACCCATGTCTCAGTACCATCCCCTCCTTGTCAAGAAATTCAGAGTTGACAGCAATTGATCTGCTAAGTACTAGGCCCCAGAATGTGCATTTTCTATCCTGTAGCTTGGTCACCACAGTCTCTCATGGCCTCATAGTTCTAATTGCCAGAGTGAAACTCCTGCTAGAACTTTTAGGTGCCCCTTTTCCCAGCACTTGTTCACTAAAAAAGGATCTGGCCCCAAACTGGATGCCTAGTCTGCCCACCTTGTCGCATATTTCCATGTCCTGGGATGCGAGTGAATGGTAAGCTTTTTTTCTCTCCAGGGGCGTGATGACAAGAGAAAGCTCAGGGACACGAGAAGGTGAAGTACTATTGTAGCTATTGGCTATTGTTTGAATATAGTTGGCCCCCATCCAAATTCAGGTTGGGGCTTAATTCCCTGATGTATTGATATTGAGAGAGTGGAGGTTTTCTGGAAGATTATTAGTTCTTAGCGGCATTACTCTCAGAAGGGATTAATGCCCATTTTGGAAGGGTGGACTAGTTCCCACCAGAGGGGGTTTTATAAAACAGTGAACCCAGCAGGATTTTCCTGATATCTTGCTTTCTCTCTCGCAATGGATCCTCTCTCTTGCACAAACGGATGCTAGTGCTATGCTCTGGATGTCCAAAATCATGAGCCAAAAACCCCTATTTTCTTTATAAACATTCAGATTCAGTTATTTTGTTATAGCAACACAAAATGAAGACACTGTTTAATTTCATTTTTACTTATCCTCTTTTTCCTCTCCATCCAAATTCCTACTCTTCTCTTGATTTTAGCTCTCAGGTCTGAATGCCATTGTATTACTCCTTCAGGATTCAGGGTCATGTCTTTCCCTAAAGTCATCGTCGTACCCCTTTATCTGATTTATGTGCTCATCCACTGTGATAGATGGAGATCTGCCACCCAGATCTCATTTCAAGAGAAGGCTCATCCAGCCTCCAGGGATGCAGTCAGAAGGCAGCCTGCAGCTGTTGGCCCCTCCAGCATCAGCCTGAGCTATAGAAAAATGCTTTCCCTAGAATCACACCTCTGCAGCCAGTGGTACTAAGGCAGGAGCATAACAGAACTGGCCACTTTAGCCAGATGGAAAACTTCACTGTTGGGCCACTCATTAGCTTCAGAGTCCCTTGCTGTGTTGGCTGAGTCCTGGTCAAGCATGGATCAGGATTCAACTTCTCCCTCTGTACTGTCCTGCTCCCTCCCCTTCCTTGCACAGGTGATTATCACTGCCAATCTTCTGGGAGAGAAAGGTGGGGAGAGAGAGAGTCACACTCTTTTGTAACTTAGTATTAGAAGTGACATCTCATCATTTTTATCATGCAGTATCTATTCTTTAGAAGTAAGTCTGCCAGTCCAGCCCACACTCAGGGGAAGGGATGATGAGAGGACACAAGTACTAGAGGGGTGATATGTGTTGAATTGGGTCCATTATCCCTCACATTTGTATGTTGATTTCCTAGCCCTTAGAATGTGGTCTTTACAAGGGTAGTCAAGTTAAAATGAGGTCAGTGCTGTAAGACCTAAACCAATATTACCTGGGCCCTTGTAAAAAGAGAAAATTTGGAGGCAGACATGCACACAAAGATAACGCCATGTGAGTGTTAAAATGGCTGCCACAAGCCAAGAGAGGCATCTGGAACAGACCCATAGACATGGGATCTGCCAACATCTTGATCTCGGACTTCTTGCAAGTCCATGTATGTTGGTCTAAGCCACACAATGTGTGTGGTACTTTGTTATGGAAGTCTCTGCCAACTGAGAGAAGGATTGTGCGGAACTGTTTCAGAAACTGCCTGTGATGGTTAATTTTATGTGCCACTTTGACTGGCATGGGGTGATGGAAATGTTTGAGTGTGTTTATGAGGGCAATTCCAGAGGTCATCAACATCTGGATGTGTACTGAGAAAAGTGGATGATCCTCTCTTGTGTGGGTGACCAGCATTTAATCTGTCGAGCACCTGAATACAACAACTACCAGCATGCACAGGAAGATTCAGTTTGCTGTCGGACTGAATGAGCTGGAGTGTCTATTTCCTGCCTCCTCCACACTGTTCTCAGACATTCAGACAGGGCCTAGCATCTGCCCCATACCCTTATGGCTCCTGAGCATTCCAAGCCACACTGCCAAATTTTCAGGGTCTCCAGCTTGCTGATAGTAGATTGAATAGTTTCTCAGCCTCCACAACTATGTAGGCAAATATCTTTAATAAATCATTCTCTCCCTTCCCTAACATGCCTGTAGCCAAACATACGTGTATATATGTATGTATGTGTCTGTCTGTCTATCTGTCTATCATCTATCTATCTATCTATCTATCTATCTATCTATCTATCTATCTATCTATCATCTATCCTATTAGTTTTGTTTCTCTGGAGAATCATAACTAATACATTGCTTATCCCCATGGTAGGGTTGCCTGTCCCTGCTGTGCTTCCAAAGCTCGTGGGCGTACCTGCAACACACACCTGCCACCCTGCCTGAAAGTGGCCTCCTGTCTCCTCTGCCTCCAGGCAGAGAGCAGAGTCTCATGACTTCAATCACTTTGAGGCCCCAGCACTTGGTACAGATCCTGAACAAATTTCTGAAGACTGCATAAGGTGACATCTCACTTTCTTTGTTTTGTACTCAGGTCCTATGTCTGACTCTATGAAAGCTCCCATTTCTTGCTTCTTCTGTCCCTTAGTGTCACCTGTGTGGTGAGAACAGACACAGAGGGGTACTCCAGAGATCATGTGAGCCTGCCCACGCCAAGGCAGGCCTGTCAGCTCCAATGGCAGAGCCCAAGGGGCTGGCTGGAGCCGTATCTCTAGGTCTCATGTTAAATCCCTCTAACTTGTTTTTAAAAACATGTGGTTTTTGTCCTTGTTCAAATATTGATTTTAGGTAACTTGAACCTGCTAGAAAAGGCCTCTGCCAGGCCAATGGGGGCTGTTTGCTGCCTTAATGACATTTCTGTGTGTTTGTATAACACAGGCTGGCAGTTGAGTCCTTGCTCCCAGCAAAGATTTACGGGACTTTACACTTTGGAAGATATTGAGTCCAACTGTTGATGAAGGTCCAGGGTATAAATCAGACCCACTCAGACCAATAAAGGTCACAGTGGAATTTTTGCCAACTGCCTTCTTCCTTTGTGCACGGTGAGAGGTTTGGACTAGGTCAGCTGGTTTAGAGTATTTCATGGAGAAGCCTAAGGTTGGGAAAGATAGGGGAGAGGGGTAATGTGGGTCAGATTCTGAGCAGGCAGGGTTCTATAGTTCTCCAGAACTTTGCATGTTTTAAAGGAGGAGCTTTTCCTAGATGTCTGCAGGTGAGAATACAAAGTTTGCTAAGCACAGTAGAAGAAGACTCTGATCTCCCTTCCAGACCCAAAGCTTCTGATAAAGAGTCAAGGTATTTAATGGAGGAGCCCAATGAGGAATCACAAATGAGCCAAGGTACACATACCTCAGCCCATTTTGCTTGCCCTCAGATTTTCTGGAGATGCCTCCCATTGGCCAAACCCAACTGGAAGCCCAGAGGATGGATGTGGTATACAGAGGCCTGGCTTCTAGGAATAGAGAGACTGAATGTGATTGGTGGAATGCAGGGTGGTTGGAAACTCTCCAGCCCACAGCAAGAACTTTGCAAATCTTTGTGAGGAGACAGGGTACAGAAGGTCCTCCTTTGCCTTAATCTTCCATGAATGGCCAACTTTCAGCCTGGCACTCACATCATCATCTGCCCTGTTTCTGTTTTAAATAAAATAGGAGTTTGGCAATTTCTTTCATCCTCTTCTGGTTAGTGCTGTGAAAAATGATTCCATGTTTGTCTGGTTAGGCAAATGCTGGTTAGTAGAGTTTAAGGGGAAATGATATGGTCCTGTAGGTCATATATAACTGACTTCAATGTCAGTTTTATCTCTTAATAATTGGGCAACTTTGGCAAGTTATAGCAACTCTCAGAGTCTCACCTATGAAATGTAGAAACACATGTTACCTATAATATTCAGACAATGAAGACACGAGTTTAAACCTATAATGCACTTAGGTTTAAAGACATAGTTAGCGATCAGTTGGTAGTCATTATCATGCTTGGGTACACTGGAAAGCACCTTTGTCTCAGGCAGAATTAAACTCTGAACTCCTTTTTCATTTTTGCAGGCCCATCTATTCTCTAACCCTCTGTGCTCCAGGATTCCTGGCCAAAACTTCAGCAATTTGGAGGGAGACTTTTAATAATGTCACCTCTACCCGGTGAACTGATCGATGACCTCAGTCTTCAGTGTTTGCCCTGGTGAAAGTCCTCTGCCCTGCCTAGGACTCACACCTCCAGCTCTGCCAGTCTCAGTCATTACAACAAGTCACGGCATCTGCAGGGCACACCAGCAACCCGGAGCCCCAGCTGAAGTCAACAGTCTTTGTTTTTCTCTCTTTGGGCATGTGAGGTTCAGGCAGGGCAGGTTGTGCTCGTTGGCACATAGAACCCAACTCCTGCCAAAGCCAAACAAGCTGAGCAATGGGCATGGATGATCCCGGGCAACCCCGTCCTCCCCCTTGTTATACCAAACACCATTCCCTCAGGGGCCTGGGGAGAAATATAACTGGTTCACATCTCAGCTGCTGGCCCTTGCCATAAGTCTGCACGATTTACCTTGGCTCTCACTTGCACTGAGGATGAGGTCATCACAGGAAGAGACAATGGAGAAGACCTCTGGAGGGGGTGCAATAAACCATATATCAGGAGGAGGGAAGAAGCCTTCAGGCATGAGATCCTTGGCAGCTGTGTGTGAGAGGTAAATAACTTCAAAAATCTTTGCTGTAAGATAAAATATGAGCTTTTATGTATACCAAAGGCCAGCTTTCAACTCTTCTCTCATCTGCTTATTTTTATTGAATCACTCTGCTCAAGGTACAGAAGTATGGCTTGGTAAAATGACCAAGAAGTGGGATCGTGACAGGAAGGTAACAGACATCCGGAGCCAGGCAAAGCCCAAGGCGGGCTGGGCTGCAGTCCATTCCCCCTTTGCAGGCTTCTTCCCCTGCACCCCCAAGTTCTAGCCCTTCCCACTTTCCCGTTGTTCCCCACCCCCTGAGCTCTTGGCCTCAGATCATTGCCCTCCACAGCTTTCGGGGTAGATCTTCCCCACCATTCTTCACTCCAACAATTCCTGCCCCTTCTCCAAATCTCACTTAATACGTCAGTTCTTCGGGCTCTTTCCCTCACTCCCGTGTCACTGCTTCCACATGGCCCAAATGCCGTTGCCCTTGCAGCAGGGGCATCCATGCTGAATTAGGAAGTGGAAGTTAAAAGCTTCATATGGCAGAACTGTAAAATGGAAGGAGACCGGATCCCAAAGTTTTCACAAAGCTGTCTACTAGTTCTGAATTGCCTGCCTCTGGGTTTCTTCTTCATTTTTCTCACTGAGGCAAAATATATTTGATGAAAGATTAACTATTAGATATTTTAAAATGTACAATTCATTGGCATTTATTACATTACTGTAGTGTGCACTACCACCTCTCTCTAGTTCCCAGGCATTTTAATCATGCCCAACAGAAACACCCACTGTACCTATTAAGCAATCAGTTTCCACTGCACTCTCCTCTCTGTCCCCAGCAACCACAATCTGTTTTCTACCCCTGTGGATTTAGCTCTTGTGGACATTTCCTACAACTATTTATTAGTGATTATCACCATGTTTCTGAGGATCATCTACATTATAGTACCGATCGGTACTTTGTTCTTTGTATGGCTGAATAATATTCTAATATATACAGTGGACCCTCAAGTTATAACTGTCAGAGCCAAGAATTTAGCTCAGTGGTATCATGCCTACCTCAAGTTGTGACTAGCTTGACATGCAAACAACTTGGGCTGGGACTAGAATTTTAGTTTTAAACTTATGAACAAAAAAATTGAGTAACAACTAGAGGACCAGTCATCAAATGGTCTCAGATACAGATGTAACCCTTGAAGAGTTCTGAGAGGAACATGACAACATCCTTTCCTGCGTGGGGTTAATTGAGATATCCTGGACCAATGTCTCTCTAAGACACTGAGATCTTCCTGGAAGAAAGTGTGGCCTAAAATTATACAGGAGAGAGAAGGCTGTGTAGGGGAGCCTGATCCTTCAATTGACCGACTTGAGTTATAAACAGCCTGAATGAATTGAGTTCATAAGTCAAGGGATATAATGTACATCATATCTATATCACATTTTATATATATAAAACATATATATCACATTTTATATATATAAAACATATATATCACATTTTATTTATATACATATCACATTTTATTTATATATCTATCGTGGGGGGTTGTTTCTACTTTCTGGCTGCTGTAAATAGTGTTGTTATGAATGTTACATGTAAGTATCTCTAGATGTTTTTACATAACACAGCAATATATTTTTTATCTGTTTAACCCAATCTATGAGCTTTCTGTCACTCTAAACTGATCATACTTTTAGCTAATAGAAAAGAACTAGCAGTCATGGTTTAAAAGTTGTATCTCATCTTTATAGGTCTGTTTGAAAGCAGAGAGTGTTAAGAAGCTGAATGGCCCATGCTATTGCTTTCTCTCCACCACCATTTCCTGTGTTTTTGTGGGTCTCAGGAATCTTATCAATAAAGTGGGAATATCCAGGTCCCCAAAGGCAGGATCCAAACCAGATAATCTCTTGGAGATTCATATTTGATTCCTCAAAGTCTGTTTTGAAAATGCTAGTAGGATAAACATTGAAATGTCGTGTCACTTTTTATAGAACACTTGCCCTAATCCATTTGCTTGCCTTTGAATTTTTGCTTTTTCTCTCTTCTTCGTAGCACATCTAAAACTGCATTTTTCCTGTTCCACCTTAAATTCATTGTGAAAAACTTGTTTTATTGGTAGAACACACAGTCCTTTAAAATAAGGCCTTTAAATGCAGCTTGCTCTCAAGACAAGTATGAAAAAGCAAAGCACAGTAACATTTATTCCAAGTATTTCTTCTCATTTAGATTCCTGCCATTTTCAGGGCCCTCTGACCCCTCAGTGATTTGGGTAGTTCTTCTAGTTATTCTTGATTATTCTGTCAATTTCCTGTCTTGTCCTTCTCCAACCCATCTGATCACTTGAATCCAGCTATGACTTAGAGCCATACTGTACAAGAGCCTTGGACCCACGGAATCTCAAATCTCAAATTTGGGGTTGGTTCCACCCCCGCTCCAGCCGAAAGGAGTCAGAAAGCTTTTGTGGTCATAGGTACTCAGAAAATATGTACCAAAGGAATTCCTGAAAGAAAGCCCTGAAGTTGATCAAAGTTTGTCACCAAGAAATAAAATCTAGAAGCAGAGCCTAGTCTTGATCCTTGTGGGAATCTGGGACCATGGAGAGGAAAATGATGCATGGGATTCTTTAGCATAAGTCTGAAGATGCATTTCTAGCTCCGTTTTTCACTCTTAAACACAATTGTAAATATGACTAGCCCCCCTTTTCTCCACCCTTCTCCCTTTAAATTAGCAGTTCTTGATACATGCAAATGTATGTTAAATTAAGCTTGAAAACCTTTTAAAGTAATAGCTCACACGTATACTATGTAAGTGTTTATCGCATGCCAGGCATGGTGAAGTTTCCTTTGCAGAAATCACTGATCATTTCCAGTTCCCCATGAGGTAGGTTGTATTTTTTTCATTTTATGTGTGAGAACACAGAAGCCACTCAGCTGGGCTAAGTAACTTGTTCAAAGTCTCACTTAGTGAAGGTTCACTTGGGTCACCTGATTTCAGTATGTAAATGTAGCTTCTCCGCTACACTCAAAATGCAGTGCAAAAGTATACCCATATTTCCATGTAGACATTCATCCTTTTATCAGGCTGAGTATCTCTTGCTTGGGATCAAGAGATAACTAAGTTGCAGTTTCATGCAAGGCGAGGTAATATGAGGCATTTCCACATTATTTCTGGATGCCATGGTAGTCCTTAACTCTCAGTTTGAACCATAGGTTACTTTTTAAAGACAGGATCCTTCTGTGGCTCTCTGTTTCTTTAATAATTAAGAAAAAAGTTAATAATAGGCCTGACACTGGAATCTCAGGGTGTTAGGGTTGTAACACCTGGCACCTGTCTTCTTCTATGGCAAAGACTTTGCAGGTGTGATAAAGGAGGAAAATGCCACAAGAGAAGTGTTCTTGCTAGTCTAGGGGGTCCTGAGTGGGATCCTAGGTGTTCTTCCGAGGGGAGAAGACGGGATTCCACACAGAATGGAAGGCAGTTCCGGGTAACCACGGAGGCAGAAGATGGATTGATTCAGCCAGCAGCCAAGGATGCTGACAGGGTCTGGAGGCTGGAGAAGGCAAGGAATATGACCCCCCCAGCCTCTGGAGAGACCCTGATTTTGAGTCAGTAAAGCCGATTTCAGGCTTTAGGTCCCTAGGACTGTGAGAAAATAAATGTCTGTGCTTTTAAACCATCAAATTTGTGGTCCTGGGTTGTAGCAGGCACAGAAAGCTAATATACCAAGTTATTATACTCTGCTGCTCTGAACCCCGGGTAGATAAGAAACGTACTAAGCAGGAAACTGAGTTTCAGAAGAGTAATCAACTAGTCTGGGGTCTCACAGCAAACAGGCAGAGGACCTGAGATTCAAATTTAGTTGTTAACTCTTGAGCTCTGCAAATCACCTTATATCTATAACACATTGACATACTTGGCTCTTTCTGGGGAACCCAGAAAACTTTTATTCCTTTCCTTTTTCTTTTCGATAGACGTCACCAAGGAGCTGAGACTGGAGGCCAGCCTGGCTTCTTGAATGTCCTGCCCTTGTGCTCCTATATCTGGCCTGAGATGTCTTTAAATGCTGCAGGAGGTCTTGTCATGAGTTTCCGCCTCCTGGCTGAGACACATCCAGTTTATCAATCTGACCTTGGGTTTTCCATGGCAAACCCTTTTGTGGAGGAAGCTGCGGTCAGGTGGCCAAACCCCTGGCTGCACAGGGCTGCACTGTCCTTATTTAGAATTGCTTTCCCTTAAGCCAGCCCTGCTCTTGCAAAACAAGTTTACTCTGCCCCACCCCCGACTGCCTGACCAGTCTGAATCCAGAGCACAGCAGCTCCAGCTCTCAGACCTGAGCCAGGAAGGGCAAGGAAAGTAGAAAAACAGGAGGCTCCTGAGCCTAAGTGTGGGGGGCACGGTTACCCTTCCCAGGTTGTGGGGCAGAGGAGACTGGTGTCTTCTCTGGGGCACTGGGTGGCCCCTGTAGATATAGCAGCCATTGCCTGCTAGGATCAACCCCAGTTTACAGAGCACAGGGAACTCGGGATAGAGGTTTGCTTATTTGAAAACAAACCACTTTAGAGTAACAAATCTTAATACTAAAGATAGTTTTGATGATGTGCCAATTTCCTTTTATTAAATACTTATCATAAACCTAGCAGAATGTTAAATCTCTTATATCTTTTATCTCACTTAATTTTCAGGAGAGCCCTAATTAGAAAGGTGCTTTTATGAACCCTGCTTCACAAACGAGCAACGGAGACTTAAGGAGATCAAAGTCCTAAGCCATGAAAATGGAGTCTGCAGACCAGGCAGGTCCTCCAAGGTCTAGAGCAGTTCTTTTACATGACCCTCTTCTTGAGGGACTCCCCAGTCCAGTTCTTTTGTTAAAATAGTTTCTGGAGCAGAGCGACTGGCCTAAGGTCAGTTCCTGGCAGGGCCAGTTTTCCAGCATTCCAGGACTGTGCTCTTTCTAACAGGTTGCCCGAGCACGTAGACTAGAATTTAAAAAAGAAGAAAAAGCAATTCAAGATTG